AAACCTATAACCATTGTCAGTTAGAGTTCCTAACATTTATTGAATAATTAAAAACTACCAGGCATGTGCTAACCCATTATATACTTCTAAATCTCACACAATTTTGTGAATAAGACATCAGAACTTGGTCAAGGAAAGTAATTTGCCTACGATAATACAATAATTTTTCAATGGTGATGCAGATGGCTTGATTTATAGATGATTTTGTCTTTGCTTCTTGCATGAACCTTTTTCTGGTCAATATTGCTCATTCTTACCCAAAGATGATCATATTGGAAACTCATATCAGAGTGAGTTTATTTAATGAAACAAGGAGAGTGAGGATACAGTTATGTCTCCTTACATATGTAAAGTATTTGTTCAGAGCCTTGCAGCCTTTCTATACTAGTTATCCAGTTATTTAAATGCATATGCTGGGCTACTGCTAGGCAAAACATCAATTTTGTAACACAGATGACTTGACATAAGCCACGATTGCTACATATTTGGTGCTAAATAAGTATGCGCTTTATGATCAAATGAATGCATGGATGAATGCAAATTTCATGCAAGCATCTTATGTTCATTCTTTACACAAAGTGTCAGAGTAAAAATATTTCATGTTTACCACAAAAGTAGTCAGGGCTGGATTACTCAAGAGATTTACCTGAAAAGGGTCTGTACATTTACTATAGTTTTGGCATCTGCCATGTAGTCTTCCTCGGCACTCATGGTACTTTCTTTATCCACGACCACCATATTGGCAGCAAAAGTCACTCCACACCTGAGTAAATCATCTAGGCTTTTATAAAAATAAACAGAGAAAAGAGGACTTTAAATAAATCACAATACTAGTATCAGTGCTACATTTTGCTTATGTCCTGAGCCTGTATAGTTTACCCTAACAGGTGGGTTTTCCAGAGAGTGCACAGAAAGTTATCAATGGGAATGATGATATAATATTCCCTAATGGTATGAAATTAATTGTATGTTTTAGCTCCTTACATTTCATTAGATTTCAAAGCATATACTTTAAGAATTTTTATTTTAAAATAGCTATTAATTATATAAATAAAATACAGAAAACTTCTATCCTTTTAATCATATAGAAATAGATCATTTTGGGTCATTCTTTTTACATTGATCACACTATTTCCAAGATGTAAAATTTACTTTTTTTTTTTTTAATTCCTAAGTTACATTTGGTAAGAGCATAATGAATACTTTTATGTTAATTTAGGTGATCAAATCTAATAAAGAAGTATTTACCATGAAATACTTTATTTAAATGTCTATTAGTTCTTTATGTAAGAGTTACAGATGGCTTATACACAGCCATGAGCAAGTGGAATATTACATAAATAAGTATCTGTTGTAGTCAAGCCTACAGCTCAAAGTTTTTGGACATGAGTTTGAATAGCTTTATTTTCTTGGCTGCATTAAGTAATTGCTAAACTAGGGTACAAATTCTTATGAGAAATAATAGAGTCAGATTTCTCACCTATCATTGATCAAAATATTTATTTATCTTTCTCCCACTGAATTAAAAATAAAAATTACCATCAAAGCTGAAACAGGTAAATTATTATATTATTATTATTATCACCTCTGCTTCATACAAATTAGAAAAATCAGGATTGAGCTGGATGAGGGAAATTAAACTTGAAGGAGTACAGAAATATCCTAAGCACAGAGTTGATTGAAAACAGTTAAGTATAGATGGGTAAATTGATTTCCACATTGTCTGATTTAAAATCAGAAGTGCAAACTTTAAAGCACTTTAATTCCATTTAGATTTTAAAGTTGAAGAGTCAGGTCTCTGAGGAACTTTTTAAACTGCATGATGGATTGCATTAGCCACATTACATTGTTGTTGTTATGTGTCATCAAGTTGCCTCCAATTCATAGAGACCTTATATACAAACGCTTCTAGGTCCTGTGCCAGCCTCATGAACCCTACTATACCCAAGCCGATCGCTGCAGCCACTATGTCAATCCATGTTGTTGAGGGCCTTCCCCTTCTTTGTTGACCCTTCACTTTACCAAGCATGATATTCTTCTCCAGAGAATGGTTTCTTCTGACAACATGACCAAAGTAGGTGACACGAAGTCTGGCATTCTCACTTCCAAGGAGCGCTCCAGCTGCACTTCTTCTAGGACAGATTTGTTAGTTCTTTTACCTGTCCATGGTACTTTCAGCATTCTTCATCAATGCCACAACTCAAAAGCACCAACTCTCCTTTGGTCTTCCTTATTCATTGTCCAGTCCTTACATGCATATGAGGCAATTGAAAATACCATGGCTTGGGTTAGGTACATCTCAGTCTTCAAAGAGATATCTTTGGTCTTCAACACTTGAAAGAGGTCTTTTGCAACAGATTTGGCCAATGCAGTAAGTCTTTTGAGGTCTTTACTGCTGCTTCCATTGTTGCTGTTTGCAGAACCAAGCAATATGAAGTCTTTGACAACTTCAATCTTTTACCCATTTACCGTGATGCTGCTTATTGGTCCAGTTGTGAGGAATATTGTTTCTTTTATATTGAAATGTAATCCATACTGCAGACTGTAGTCTTAAATCATCATCAGTAAGTGCTCTAAGCCATCCCCATTTTCAGCAAAGTTGTGTCATCTGCATATCTCAGGTTATTACTGAGCCTTCCTCCAAAGCTGATGACACATTCTTCTTCATATAGTCCAGCTTCTTGGATTATTTGCTCAGCATACAGATGGAATAAGTACGGTGAAAGAATACAACCCTGATGCACTTCCTTCTTGACTTTAAACCATGCAGTGTCCCCTTGTTCTGTTCAAATGTCAACCTCCTGGTCTACATACAGGTTCCTCATGGGTACAATCAAGTGCTCTGGAATTCCCATTTTTCTCATTGTTATCCATAAATTATTGTTGTTGGTGGTGTTATGTGCTGTCAAGTCGGACTTGACTCATAGCGACCCCTCCTTGGGTTTCCGAGGCAGTATCACTATGGAAGTAGATTGCCCCATCTTTCTTCTGAGGAGTGGCTGGTGGGTTTGAACTGCCAGCCTTCTGGTTAACAGTCAAGTGCTTTAGCCACTATGCTACCGGAGCTCCCCATAAATTATTATGATCTAAAAACTCAAATACCTTTGCATAGTCAATAAAAAAAAAAAAGTAAACATATTTCTGATATTCTTTGCTTTCAGCCAAGATGCATCTGACATCAGCTATGATATCCTTCACTCCATGTCCTCTTCTGAATCCAGCCTGCATTTCTGGAAGTTCTCCATCAATATACTACTGCAATCTTTTTTTTTTTTAACGTTGACTTTAATTTACAATGCAACAGTTCCCCTCTCACTCCCTTCCCATAGTTACCTCTTCCCAGTGTCCTTCCCACCATCCACTCCTGCCCTCTGAGCTATATCCATGTGCACATACAGCCATTCTATTCTTCCATGACTGTTCTCTCCAAGAATGTATCTACCTAGTGTAAATGTTCACCTCATATGCCTGTCTCTTGATTGGCTGAAAGCCACAGGTGTGGGTCTAATTCTAGACCTGAAGGGCAGCTAGAGGTCATAGTCTCAGTGGACCCATCAGGCTCTATCAGATCAGCAAACCCTTTTATTTTCTCAAATGATTTTGAGTTTTGTTCCACATTGCTTTCCCACTCTGTCCAGGATTTTCTACAGAGATCCCCCTCCAAGTGGCTGACAGTGGTAGCTGGGCCCCATCTAGTTCTTCTGGTCTCATAGTCATATAGGCTGAGGATTGCATGGTGTACCAGTCACTTGGACTAACATTTCCATGAATCTTTGGTTTTCTTCATTCTTCTTTGCTCTGGATGAGGAGAGACCTATCGTTGCATCTAGATGGCTGCTTGCAAGCTTTCAAGATACCAGTCGCTACTCACCAAAGTAGGGGATGGAACAATGTTTTGTGTAGTATGTTACACCAATTGAGCTTGAAGTTCCTTCTGACTATCATCCTGAGCCCACAGGTCCAGTTACTCACGCCCTTTAGGTAGCTGGCTGTGCCCAAGAAGTGACTACAATCTTACCCCAATAGTTTTTTAATTATCTTCAGTAAGATTTTACTTGTGTGTTATATCAATGATTTTGTTCAATTATTTCCACATTGTGTGGGATCACCTTTCTTTGGAATGGGACAAATATGGGTCTCTTCCAGTCAGTTGGTCAGGTAGCTGTCTTCCAACTCTCTTGGCATAGCCGAGTGAGTGCCTCCAGCATGGTATCCATTTGTTGAAATATCTCAATGGGCATTCTCTCAATTCCTGGAGCCTTGTTTTACACCAACTCCTTTAGTGCAGCTTCAACTTCTTCCTTCAAAACCATTGGTTCTTGATCATATGCCATCTCCTGATATAGATGAACAACTACCAGTTCTTTTTGGTATAGTGACTGTGAATTCCATCCATCTTCTTTTGATGTTTCCTGGATCATTTAACATATTGCCCATGGAATCTTTCAATATTGCAATTCAAGGCTTACATTTCTTCCTCAGCTATTTCAGCTTGAGAAATGCTGAGCTTGTTCTTCCCTTTTGGTTTTCTACCTCCAGATCTTTGCACATTTCATTATAATAATTGACTGTGTCTTCTCTAGCTGGTCTTTGAAATCTTCTGTTCAGCTCTTTTATCTTGTCAGTTCTTCCATTTGCTTTAGTTATTCTCCTTTCAAGGACAATGTCAGAGTCTCTTCTGACACATCCATTTGGGTCTTTTCTTCCTTTCCTATCTTTTTAATGACCTTTTACTTTGTTCACAGATGTTGTTCTTGATGTTATCCCACAATTCCTCTGGTTTTCGGTCATTGGTGTTCAATGCATCAAATTTATTCTTCAGATGGTCTCTCAATTCAGAAGGAATATAATCAAGGTCATAATTTGGCTCTCATGGACTTCTTTTAATTGTCTTCAGCTTCAACTTAATTTGCATATGAACAGTTGATGGTCTGTTCCACAATCAGCTCCTGGCCTTGTTTTGGCTGAAGCTATTGAGCTTCTCCATCCCCTCTTGCCACAGATATAGTCAATCTGATTCCTGTGTATTGCATCTGGTGACATCCATGTGTACAGTGACCATTTGTGTTGTTGAAAAAGTTATTTGTGATGTGTAAGTCATTGGTCTTGTAAAATTCTATCATGCAATCTCCAGCATTATTTCTATCACCAAGGCTTTATTTTCCAACCACTGGTGATTCTTCTGTGTTTCCAACTTTTACATTCCAATCACCAGTGATAATTAACACATTCTGATTACAAGTTCAGTCAATTTCAGATTGCAGAATCTGGTAAAAATCTTCTATTTCCCCATCTTTGGCTATGGTGCTTGGTGCATAAATTTGAATAATAGTAGTATTAACTGGTCTTCCTTATAGCGTACGGATACTGTCCTATCACTGAAAGCATTGTACTTCAGGATTGATCTTGATACATTCTTTGTGATGATGAATGTCATGCCATTCTTCTTCAAGTTGTCATTCCTGGCATGGTAGATCATATGATTGTATGATTCAAAATGGCCATAACCAGTCCATTTCAACCCACTAATGCCCAGGATATTGATCTCTATGTGTTCCATTACATTTTTGACAACTTCCAATTTTCCTAGATTCATAGTTTGTAAATTCCATGTTCCAATTATTAATGGATGTTTGTAGCTATTTTTTTCTCATTTTGAGTTGTGCCACATTAGCAAATGGAGGACTCAAAAAAAGCTTTATCCACATCATTTAGGTCAGCTCTCTCTCAAGAGGCAGTTCTTCTCCAGTCATATTCTGAGTGCCTTCTGACCTGAGGGGCTCATCTCCTGGCACTATATCAAACAGTGTTTCAGGGTTATTCATAAAGTGTCAGGGCCATTCATGAAGTTGTCCAGTAATATATCAGACAGTGTTTCATGGCTATTCATGTTAGAAGGCATTATTTTCCTTTTATGGGAAGACAAGAGGCAGGATTTCTTATAAGCCCACAGCATATTACCTTAGGTCCAAGACTACCAAGAGCAGTTCAGAAAAAGAAAAAAAAAAAAAAATCACTGAAATGAGGTACAATGTTCCGTAGCAGAGATTTTATGGTTAAAAATGTGGAGACAGAATGTTATTCCAAATAAATTTCCTATCATGAGAGAGGTCAGGTCCATAACATCCAACTAATATGATGGCCTTCAAGTCTAATCTCAATAAAAGCTGAGTTTTCCTTTAATCTAGGAAATTCAGAATTGTTCTTACATCACAAAACTACATGTTTTTTAAAAAGAGTTAGATGGAAAATGAATGTAATCTTTCTCACTATGAACTATAAAAACAATGCCTAAGGCATATGCTTTCAGACACCTTATTATAATTTTAAATCACTTTCATATATGTCAGCTCCTACAATCTCTTTTCCCAAAATACTGAACCAAATTCACTATCATTAATTCCAACTCCCAGAGACCTCTCCTTGGGTTTCTGGGCAGTATCTCTATGGAAGTAGATTGCCCAGTCTTCCTTCCAAGGAGTGGCTGGTGGGTTTGAACCAACAGCCTTCTGGTTAGCAGTCAAATCTCCTTTAGCCCCAGTTTAAAAAAAAAAAAAAAAGTATCACAATTTTCTATATAGAATAGGAAAAAAATAAGTTGTGGAACATAAACTGAATTAGACAGAGACATATAGATAGAAAAGATGAATGTTTCACTGGAGATTTAACAAAGTTGAATTTTATACTGAATGAAAATTTCACTAGGAAAGTGCCTATGCTAAATAGCTATTAACTATCTACAACCCTTCATGTCAGTTAATTCCATTCTCAAAATATCGGCTGCTGTGGTGTAAGCTTAACTTTGAAAGATTACTTTAGAATGATGAAAAATGAGTAAATGTATAGAAAATACATAACATTAGAATGACATTTCTGAACCATCTATAGATATTTTTGTTCTTCTTTTTTAAATTTTGATTGTGATTTGGGTGAAAATTTACAGAACAAATTCAATTTCCATACAGCAGCTCAGACACATTTTTGTTCATGTTTTAACTTTAAAATATTAGTTTGTTTATTTAATATTTGCTACACTGCATTTTTTTTTTTTTTTTTTTTAAGGAGCTCTGGTGGCAAGGTGGTTGACAGTTTGAACTCACCAGCAGCTTTGCAGAAGGAAGACAGGGCAATCTACCTCCCTAAAGATTTATTGCCTCAGAAACACAATAGGGGTCGCTATGAATCGATTCAATGGCAGTGAATCTTAATCTTTTTTATTTTTAAAATAAGCAACTGAATTATTCTTATAATTTTTGTATTATTACAATTTCCTCCACCAGCCTCTCTAACAAAGCAACTGCATATTTTATTTTGCCATGGTAGCTTTACACAATTTAGCCACCAGATGGCAGTCCAAGAAAGAAGTAAATCTGGATGAAAAAAGAGTCAGGGATAATCTGGCAGTGCCTTACTTTCCACTTTCATCTAAGATCCTTTTTTCCAGGGAGGACTAGGATGTGAATGTGTAAGTGTGAGGCAGTGTTTGAGAGAATCTATTCATTTCTTCACAATGTTGTTTTTTTCTTTTTAAATGGAATATATTAAACATACACAAAAGAGATTTGTATAGTGAATCTCCCTATCACCTACTTTTAATAAGTACCTACTTTTCTCATATCTATCCTTAGGGATTTGATGCCTTCATTTATTTTTCTCTTCCTCTCTGCAACTACTTTTCACTTTTATAGAGAAATAATTCACATCTCAGTTTACATCAGAAAAGGCAGATTGGAGGTTATTCTTCAACTTTTAAATATACAATATTTATAATGAATTGTAATAGAGCACTAGATAGATGTTCAAAGTAACATCACTAGTTATACAATAAGGCATGATTTTATTTAGAATTCTACTTTCATGGGTTTAAATAGAAGTTTTAGTATACCTAACCACATTTTAGTTACTTGGTAGTTATTAATATGACAACCGATGATAGAAATGATGACAGAGTAGAATGAAGGCTAAACACATTTTAGTCTCTGGCTTTTAAAGCGTCCACAATCAATAAACACTGTCAAAGTTGCAAACTTTGTTTTTTCCTAATTTACAGGATACAATACAAGCAATAAAGTTCTCGATTGGTAAATTTTGACAGTTTAAAAGTTCTAGCTGAAATGTTTTAAAAAATAGAAAAATAACATATTTTATTATTCCAAGTGTATTATTTTGTATATGTTTATGTCACCTTGATGAATATATGAGAATTTGTACTTCAATCTTAATATATTGCACATATTTGATGTTTTAACTAACAAATATTTTAGAAATTGTAAACACATATATGTTACTCGAATAAAGTAAACTTTTAAGAATATATTTCAATTTCTCAATCTCACTTTTAACATGAGTATTTCCAAATTATTCTGCAAGTTTCCACAAATTATGTCAATGACATCAATGAAATACAATGCTGAACCTTTAGATTTTTTTTTATAACTATGGGAATACTAATAACGATATTTTTATAAAAGGCACAAAACTGAAATTGTTTTAGAAAACCGAGCAAACTTGACAAAATTGACATGCAGCGAGATTTGTTTTACTTCAACACTAGAGTACTGCTTAGGAATTTTAAGTACAAGATGTATAGCACAAGAACATAAGCTCTACATGCAAAATATATCATCTTTGCAATACTGATATGACAAAGTACACTCATCATGCAGTAACGAGGCACAACACATGACAAACCACAAGACACTCCACTAGTTAGTGTGCCAAAGATTGTGTCACCTACTTGTCAATAGAGCCCACCATGTAGTAAACCATTGGAAACCAACAGATTGCATCCAGAAAATGCATATCTGGCCTAAGTAGCAGATGGGTTACAAAATGAAACACAATGTCACACAGTGGTAGCACTTCTAGGGAAAGGAAGTAAGTTGACTTAGTTTGCATTTCCAAAACTAAACAATGCTAATGAGATTAATCTTAAAGTAATATTTTTTGATAATTTTAATTATAAATGGGCATTTGTCCTTGTTATGAATAAAACAATGTACTCAGATTCATAAACATAATTTGTATTTCAGTTTTACAAACCAGAAACATTATGGCTTAATTCTACTAAAATACCGAGGTGATCTTACTTATGACTAAATAAACCTTGTAAATAAACTTTAAAGTTACTTAGGTGAAGAAAGTTTTGTTAAATGAAGAAGTAATGATTTTTTTCTTAGATAAACTTTAGCATAGGGAACCAAATTAGCATAACAATTAAGGACAACCTTTTCTGATATATATATAAATATATATGTATATGATGACAATATGCTTCCTAATGTCTCAATAAATATAGTATATGAACCAGTGCAAAATATGCATTATATAAAATGAAAATTAATATTTTTTGCTTTACTGAATATTTATTATTGAGCAAATATTTATTATGACTGAATCATAAAGCTCAAATATTCCTATTTTTTTAACCTATTGCATTTAACCTATTGCATTTAACCTATTGTATTTACTTTACTTTAGTCATTAATTCATTCATGCACCTATTCACCCAGCATATAAGTACCAAAAACCTCTTTATATAATAAACAACAATATACTTAAGCATATGCCAAAAGAAAATATGGTATTAACTTGTACTATAAGAAATAGTCTTTGGAAACATATATAAAGAAACACAAAATTATAATACATGTTTTAATCTGAAAACCAGGTAGTACATTACACTTAGGAGGCAGAATTATGTAACATTCAAGGGGTGATATCTAGCATGTGTGTTAGCATGAGGAAGAGTTTGCCTCATATGAGAGGAGAGGAAAATTCAAGGTGAAAAGAATTACAACATCTATATTTTCCCAAGTGCTGATCCCCAGCTAGATCAATCCTTTTTCTCCCTGAGTTATCTTCTTCCTGTTGATCATTCCCCTATCTCTTTTCATCCTAAAGAAAAAATGTTCAATATAGAGAAGCATAAAAGCAGAAACTTTCTAAAGACTATCCCTGTTAGAATTTTGACCAAATTTCTCCCGTCCTTAAATTTCTTTCTGATGTTTTAAACAACCCCAAAATAATACACCTTATAGCTATAGCTGTAATACCCCAGTTAATTTCAAAAGTCCTCAATTATTAGATTAGTAAGTTATTTTGAATTTATATTATTAATCATTGATGTTTTGTGTTATTTCTCGATATATTTAGAACACTGGCATGGAATCTATGGTCTACATTTTTTTAGCATTACTTTTTATAATTTAAGGAGCTCTGGTGATGAAGTGGATAAGGCACTTGACTGCTAACCAGAAGTTCAGCAGTTTAAACCCACCAACCACTCTGCAGAAGCTTCGAAGATGGGCAATCTACATGCATAAAAATTTACCACTTGGGAAACCCAGTGTGGGTTGTTATGAGTCAGAAATGACTCAATGGCAGTGAGTTTTTTTTTTTTTTTTTTTAAATATAATTTACTTCAAAACATTTATAGAAGCAATGTTAGTGAATCAAAAGTTACAAACATTTTAAGCTGCTGATGTTTACTTGTTTTGTTGTTTGCTTTCTTTTGTATGTTGTCCACAAACACTACACCAATACTATACAATCCCAGTAGCAATAAACAATAGTGCATATGGTAGAGACTTCTAGTTTTCCTCTCTCTCTGGTCACTACCCTGCTTTGTTCAAAGAAGAGTCACAGGTCATTCCATGGAACTGCTAATACAAAGCCCTTCAGGTCTCTTTTCCGTTTTAGCGAGTATGAAAGCACAAATGAGGATACAAAGGTCAAGCCTGCACAGCTGAGCCACTGCATGGAGCAAAGGTATTATGAGTCACCTGAACTTGCAGTAGCATTCCTCAAAGAAAGAAATAAACTGTCGTTGATCTGAACCACTGAGATTTGAGGGTTGTTACTCTGTCTTTTTCTTGCTATTTTGATTTTATCACTCTTGATCCTAAATTTTCATATGATCCCAGTCAAGGAAAGTATCCATAACTTTTATGTGGCAGAGTTGAGTCTCTAACTCTTCATTATTGATTGCACATATATACCCTGGGTGGAATAATCATCTGTTTAACTTGACTCATTCTTTTAGGTTGAAATCATTTCGATTTTGCCACGCTGCTTTGTCTGACAGATAACCACTTACAACAATATTTAATATTATTTAATCATCTGATTAAATAAAGATAATGAAGGTTTTCTGTGTAACAAGCAGTACTGGGGTCATTAGAGACTAAGTCCTTATACTGTGTCAATCTTGTTACAGATAGAATTGAAATTAAAGACTTTGTTGTTGCTTTTATAGCAGAGATTATTAAAGGTATTTGCATATCAAAATGATTGCCTTGGTCCAGTAAATTCATGAATTTTAGTAATTTGCAATTCTGCCGTGAATGTGTATTTACAGTGTACAACTAAATATTTTAGAAGTTAGAATTAATATCTCTCATGTGACAGCATTGTTCATCCTTCCATGAATTCAGCTATATTGTAAGCTAAATAACATTCCTTGAAACCTGGTAACTACGTAATCCTAATGAACCATTATCTAATGTGGGGCCTCTAATATGGAATACTGTTTGTAAATGTAATCTTGTATAACACATAGATTCATCTGCTGCTGCTCTTGATAGAGTTTTAAAGGAAACATGAAATGTAAAGAATAAATCAACTACACATTATTTACCTGTATTGTGCTGGCTCATTTATGTAAATTGGAAAGGATGTTTATGGCACTAAGTTGCCATAGTTCATAAATAACTAATATCATAAGCTCTTAACAGGATATACTCTCTAGTCATTGAGAGACAGTTAATTTGCAAGCATAACCTTTTAATAATTGTACTGAAAGGAAAATATTGAGACACCTTTAACAAAAATATGAAATATTCAGAAAAGTAGGAGATAGACCTTTCTTATATTACACTCCCAAAGTGAAGATGAATGAAGAGTTGGACAGAGAGAAATGAAATCATAAATACAACAAGATAAAATATATGAAACTTCTTATCTGACTACTAAATAGAGAAAGCCTGTCTATGCTAAAACCTACATGAAGACAAAGTGATGGAAATATTAATAGATTTAACTATATAACTTGATACAAAGTTTTAAATAAACAAATATTAAACAAAAGATTATTACCTATACAAAATCTATTGATCACATTTGCTTAATAAATAAAGTTTTTCAAATTAACACACATGACCGGAAAATGAATCAAGGGCAAAATTAATAATATATGTTGTTATGCACCGTTGAGAAGGTGCTGACTCATAGAAACCCTGTGTACAACAGAAAGAAACATGGCTAGGTCACATGCTATGTGCTATGCTTGAGCCCACTGTAGTAGCTGCTGTGTCAGTGAGGGTTTTCCCCTTTTTTTGCTGACCCTCTACTTTACCAAGCATGATATCCTTCTTCAGAGAATGGTCCCTTCTGAACACATGACCAAGGTAGGTGGGATGAAGTCTGGCCATTTTCTCTTCCAAGATGCATTCTGGCTGGACTTTTTCAAGAAGAGCTTTGTTCATTCTTCTGGCAGTCCATGGTATTCTTTGCTAACACCACAATTCAAAGGAATCAGCTCTTCTTTGGTGTTCCTTATTCATTTTCCAGCTTTCACACATATATGGGGTGATTAAAAATACTATGGCTTGGCACCTTAGTCTTCAAAGAGACATCTTTGCTTCCTAACACTGTAAAGAGGTCTTTTGCAGCAGATTTGCCCAGTGCAACATGATGTCTTATTTCTTGGGAATTTACTATGGACCCAAGTTAAATGAAATTCCTGACACCTGCAATCTTTTCCCCATTATTGTGACGTTGCTTATTGGTCCAGTTGTATTTTCATTTTCTTATGTTGAGGTGTAATCATACTGTAGACTGCAGTCTTCAATCTTCATCAGTAAGTGCTTGAAGTCATCTTCACTTTCAGCAAACAAGGTTGTGTCATTTACATATCACAGGTGGTTAATAAGTCTTCCACCAAACTTGATGCTGCATTAATCTTCCTATAGTCCAACTTCTCAGATTATTTGCTCAGCATGTGGACTGCATAATATAGTGAAAGGATATAACCCTGACACATGCCCTTCCTGATTTTAAAGCATGCAGTATCCCTTTGTTCTGTTCCAGTAACAGTCTCTTGGTCTATGTACAGGTTTCTCATGAGCACAATTAAGTGTAGTGGAATACACATTTTTCGTAATGTTATCCATTATTTGTTAAAACCTACACAAATTCCTTTGCATAATCAATGAAACACACATAAACATCTGTCTGCATTCATTGCATTCAGCCAAGATCCATCTGATATCAGCAATGATACTCTTCATCCCACGTCCTTTTCTGAAATCAGCTTGCACTACTGTATGTTCCCTGCTGCAATCATCTTTGAATTATTTTCAGCAAAATTTTACTTGCATGTGGTATTAATGATATTGTTCAATAATCTCCACATTCTATTGGATTATCTTTCTTTGGAATGGCACAAACATTGATTTCTTCCAGTTGGCCAGGTCTTTCAAATTACTTGTCTTCTTCCAAAGTACTTGGCATAAATTACTAAGTGTCTCCAGTGCTGCATCCATTTATTGAATATCTCAGTGTGTATTCTGTCAATTCCTGGAGCCTTGTTTTTTGCCAATTCCTTCAGTGCAACCTTGACATCTTCCTTCAGTACCATTGGTTCCTGATCATATGCCACCTCCTGAAATAGTTGAAAATTGACCAATTCTTTTTTGTACAATTACTCTGTGTATTCCTTCCATCTTCTTTTGATGCTTCCTGTATCATTCAATATTTTGCCCATACAGTCTTTCAAAATTGCAACTTGAGGTCTGAACTTTTTCTTCA